TGTGTGTGTGTGTGTGTGTGTGTGTGTGTCTGTCTTCCCTGTCTGTCTGTCTCTCCTGGTCTTCTTTGTGCATGCGCTCTCCCCCCCTCTCTCTCTAATTGAGAAAATCTTGATTCTGAATACATCTGCTGCTACTCAGCTCTACCTCCTATCACTAGCTATGTACCTAAGGCCGCCTTCCCTCTCAGTGCAGTGCTGCCCCAGCAGGGCTCCCGAACGCATGCTACTCGCAGGTGGCGCACAAGCGCTTCAGCAGCACTCCCACACTTCTCACAAATGAGCAATCTGTCCAAAATGTGGCTGGCCAGTCCTTGTATTGACTTGGACTGAGATTCAACTCGTCCCAGCCTCTGCTTCTTGTGGTTTGACTCGGTACTGGTACTACATGCCCACGGCCTGCTTGCTTCAGAATGTCAAGGGCTGGTACTTTCCCGAATTTTCATTGTTGTGCTGTTGCTTGGGCCTGTGAGTCACTACTTTTCACCTGTGGAGCATGACTTTTGACTGTGGGATGTGACTCTTGCCTCTGGGACACGACTTTTGCCTGGGGAAGTGTCCTTTGCCTGTGGGATATGACTTTTCGATACGACTTTTCAATATGAGACGGGACTTTTGCTTATAGAATGCAACCTTTGCCTCTGAGATGTGACTGTTTACCGGGTCCCTGTTGGACTTGACTCCTAAGGTACCCAACTGTGACCTTTCTGAACTGACCGACTTGGCCTCCCTTGGCCTAGGACCTTGACCCTGAAATTCGAATTTGGGGTCTGCATCGTGGAATGCCTTTCAATATCCAAACTTGCACAAAACGCTGCAGAAGAAGGAGAGAGAACTGAGGAGGAGGAAGAAGTACTCGAGATATGGCAATGGCGATAAAATGTTTCTCTCTCTCTCCCCTTTGATGATCTCCTTTTCAGTTGTCAATCGCCTCCAACAACAACAATAAGCTTCAGATATCTTAAGATCTCTGTCCCGCAAAAGGGGCGCTCTCCGGAAATAGTGAACCACAGCCAGCTCAGGTCATTGAGGTCGCTGGCTCATCCAATGTGACAAGAACTTCATAAGCCAGCAAGAACAGTGAATTTTCAAAACTTTTTGATCGAAATTGTTGGTGTTTCTATTGTCTTCAGCCAACCTCCCTCTCCCCCTCTTCCCCCTCCCCTCCTCCCTTGCAATCATGGCATCCTCTGATAGTATTAAGCTCATGAACAATCCAGCCCACCACTAGCTCGTGACGTCATCCTTGGCCTTTGCAATGCCCGCAGGTAAACTAGAGTCCCAGGACCGAAGATGCATTTATTCCTTCCTTACACCGCCCCCCATCAAGCAACACAGAACAATAGTTTGAGACTGTTTCAGCAATGTATAGCCATAAAATTGAAAGTTTTTCTTTTGAAATACACACTTTTACATAAGCACTACCAAGCAGAAGAGACCTCACTATACCTCGTACTGGTCAGGGCTCTCCAAAATGCTAGCTTTCAATTCCCTCTGAGTGTCCTTCAGAGCAGTCAACTTAAATGTCACAACGCCCAGCTGCCATGACCACAGCAGTAGTCACCCACCACACACACAAAGTAGTAGCACACAAGTTGAATGCAGGAGATCACACCGAGTCATGGAAAACAGAGCACATGGATTCGTTTGTGGCAGACCACACAATTTCAGAGAGCATTACAGCGATGTGTGCCTGATTCTTTGTAGAGGAAAGCATCAAAGCATACAGAATAGCAGATTAGTGCCATTCAGCAAAGATGAACTCAGGATCGCTCACAAGCATGCAGATCCGCACAGCATAACACACGCTCACACAAGGTCACCTATGTTAAACCAGCTCCCACGAAAGTTTTCCTAGCACGAACCTGGCCACAAATATACACAGCAGAAACTGGCCACAGACGACCCACGAGAGCTCTCCCTGCATTATATAGTATGCTTCCCCTTGCTCCACCCCCGCTCCTCAAGGCCTCGTTCCTAGGGAGTCTATGACTCTATGTTGATCGGTGGCCATCGCTTCCAAACCTTCATCGCCACATTTTCTTATGATGCAATCAGACTCGTTCTCATTCACACTTTTGATGCATGTAAACAGCAGCGCAGCAAACTGGCGACATGTGCCCACACAAAACTCAGAGATATGGCATCCAGATACAAGTTCACTTCCAACAGGCTACGGCGACTCAGCGCCCAAACAACTCGCTGTTCACACACACCGGATCACCCTGGATATCCCACACGCGTCACTCTGGACACTCACACATACACACACACTCTTCACACTAACTACAGCTACGGCAGCTATGGCTGCCTCTACCCTATCGCTATACTAAGCTCCCCCTCTCTCGGCCACTGCGTCCTCCGGGCTCACTGCAGACCTCCTTGCACAAGTCGCTGTGGCAGCGCTTCCGCATGGCTCGCGCAGGAATGAATGAATGGCTGGGCGCTGCCTCTTGATTTATACTTCGGAAACTCGTTGGTCTGCCCTTTGCCATCGGCCCATGGTGCTCACAGTCCCCCGTGGTACTTGCTGGACCGGACTGGGACTGACTGGACCTTACCGATGACTGACTGTGGACTCACTGCTATCCTACCGTCGTCGTACTGCAATCGCACTGCAGTATAGTCCACCACTTGACTCGCCACTTGACCACTTGCCCACTTGCCGACCTTCTAGAAGGCTACAGCTAGGCTTCTGGAACTCGCTAAGACTTCTACTCTATAGACCTACAGATCGAACACCTGCTACCTATGGACCTATGACAGACCTACCAACTGTCTATGAATACACAGGTCACAGGTTCAACTCTCGGGATCTACACAGATACTAAACATGGGTAGGGTGAGGTCTAGGGATCGAACCCTGGGGTCTGCATCTGCTGCTGCAAAAGGTGAAAACCGTTTCACTCCCGCCGTCCTAAATTCGAGGTCCTCCAAGAATATTTCAGTCCAAGGCAGGACCTTTACCCTTCTTATCACGCTCGTAGGCTCTGACTATGTCGGGAGCTGTCTCTAGGAGTTCTGTTCTTGTAAACCAGCGGTCTTCTTCCGGTTCCTGATAAGCAAACCGGACCTTGTACTGTTTCTGGGGACGACCTCTACCTCCTGTTCTGAACACATCCTCATCTACAACGCCGTCAATGTCATAACTTCCATCCATATCCGGGGGGATCATGGATCTTCTTGAAGGGAACTGTTGACTTGTGACACACGGCAACAGCTTTGAAGCATGGAACACAGGGTATGTGTGGAGGTGTGATGGGATCTCTATAGTGTAGGACGGTCCATCCTCTCCGCCCTTGACTTCTAGAACCGGCCACGGTCCTCTGTATGCAGGCAGCAACTTCTGCGAGATGTGTTCCTCAGGTGCAAACTCTTTAGACTTGACCCAGACTAAGTCGCCTACCTGAAATTGAGACGGGCGACGGTGCTTATTGGCCTGTTCTATCATTCTGTGCTGGGCCTTTCTGAGGTTCTCAACAACCGTTGCCAGTTCTTTCTCGTGCTGTACTGCGAACTCCCTGGTACCGGGCGGTAGTTTGTGAATCTGATCCCGGTTCATTCCTCCGAACGGTCTGCGTGGTCTAAAGGACTTGTGCAGCTCATTGGGAGTGCGGCAGGTGGATAGATGCACGCTGTTGTTGTATGCACTAGCTACCTTAGGCAACATCTCATCCCAGTTGATCTGATCTGGTCTAATGTACATGCGCAGAACTTGCTGTAGGATCTTGTTCATCTGTTCTGTCTGACCGTTGGTCTCTGGATGATGGCCAGATAACATTAACAACTTTGATCCGTAAACTCTCATGAGTTCCTGCCAGTTCTGGCTGGTGAAACGACTATCTCTATCACTAACTATCGATAATGGGACCCCGTTCTCACTAACCCAATGGTTGAAAAACTTCTGAATGACTAATTCTGTGTGTGCAGCAAAGGAACAAAAACAGCACATTTGCTAAAACGGTCAACTATGACCATGACTTGGCTCTTGCCATGCCTACTCTTGACCTGAGTATCCATGAAGTCTATGGACATTGAGTCTCCAGGCTGATCAGGAATAGGCAGCATCCCCGGCCAGGTGTACGCACGCATCAGGTTAGCTAATGTCTTCTGCCAACCGAAGTGTCCCTCTATGTCATGGCATTCCCCTAGGATTAGACTGCGGACTTCCTCACTATTGGGAACGCATAGGCGGTCGAATACATCTGTCTTCTCAAACAGTAGTCCTTCTATAGTGCGGTAATGTGGTTCCGCCTCTGGGGCCTCCTTAACTCTCTTGAGGAGGTCACTATAGATAGGGTCATGCGCATACGCTTGCCTGACTTTCTCCTGCAGGTCTCTCCCTATATCCATATAGTGTACTATGGCTCCAAAGTAGTATGATCTCCTACTCCGAGCGTCCGCAACTACGTTATACTTGCCTTTCACTGGCTTAAGCTCAAAGTCATATTGGTCTATTTCAGCGGCCCACCTAGTTAGTTTAGGTGTCATCTTGGCCTGTGTCTTTAACCATCTAAGTGTCTCATGGTCAGAATACACTTTGAAGTGCCTCCCAAGCAGATAGTGCTTCCAATGCTCTAAAGCCTGCCTGAGAGCGTAGAGTTCTCTCTCGTACGTCGAGGTGGCTACCTTCTCTAAGGGCATCCTCGCTGACATGAACTCTACGGGTCTATAGCCATTGTCGTCGTCTTGCTGCAACACGGCGCCTATACCATACAGACTCGCGTTTGTGGTAACGACAAATGGCAAAGATGGATCAGCTACTTTGAGGACAGGGTACTCTATCAACGCGCGCTTCAGTCTCTTTAGCGCGGACGTACAATCCTTGTCCCATTGCCAGATTGCCTCTTTCTTAAGCAACCTGCGCGAGGGAGCGGCGATAGTAGAAAAGTTCCTCACGAACTTTCTATAGTAATTAGCTAGGCCCAAGAACGACCGCAACTCTGTCAATGTGTGGGGTGTCGGCCAGTCTCTAATTGCCGCTATCTTGCTATCCTCTGGCTTAATGCCATCTCCGTCTAATATGTGGCCCAAGTACAGGACTTGCGTCTTGGCCCACTCACACTTCTTCGCATTGATCTTGAAGTTAGTCTCTCTGAGCTTTTCCAAGACCTGCCTCAAATGACCCTGATGCTCCTGGAGGGTCCTATTGAAGACTAATATATCATCTAGATAAACTACTACAAACTTATCTAANCTCCTGGAGGGTCCTATTGAAGACTAATATATCATCTAGATAAACTACTACAAACTTATCTAACCATGGTCTGAACAAATCATTCATACAACGCTAAAAAGTAGCTGGCGCGTTGGTTAGTCCAAGGGCATCACTATAACGCAGTCTTATACTGGTCATCCGGGTGTACTTCTATCTGATGGTATCCGGACTTTAAGTCTATCTTAGAGAAATACTTGCAACCCTGCACCCGATCTAGGAGATCGTCTAACCTGGGCAGCGGCTCAACATTCTTCACTGTGATAGCATTCAAACCCCTATAGTCTATACACATACGAAGCTCTCCTTCCTTCTTGGGGACAAATAGAACAGGTGCTCCAAAAGGAGACGAACTGGGCCTGATCCAACCCTTCTCAAGGAGCTCGTCTAACTGCTTGCGCAGCTCCTCTAACTCTCTAGGGGACATCCTGTAGACTGCTCCCTTAGGAGTTCTACTGCCTGGCTCTATCTCTATCCTGCGCTAGATGGGTCGCGGAACTACTCCTGTCGGCGACTCGGTCAAGTCCTTGAACTCCTCCAACAGCTTGGCAATGGTTGGATCCGTGGAACTATCTTCTTTCTTGGCCTCAGTGACATGTCTAACATACACTACAAAGACCTGGTCCTCTAACTGTTCCTTCTTCACTAGTCGCGCGAACGCGGGAGCACTGAGACAGCAATGTGCCAGAGTGTTATTTACACCTGACACATGAAACAGGCGGGCAGTCTTGAGCTCGCCTGATGGGCTAGGGAGCCTACACTCATGCTCTCTCAGATGGAGTGTGGCCCCTGCTGCCTCTCCCCAATCCATTCCTAGCACTACATCGAAAGGAAGGTCATCCTGTACGAGAAGAGTCAGGGAATGGAGAACTTTCTCCACCTTCCCATCCTTCTTTAGGCGAAAGTACGCCTGGACTCCCTCTATATAGTCCTCAACTCGCATTGTGCGGTTGTCTGCGAGGACACTGACTATGGGGTCTACTAACTTTTGGACTTTTAATCCTAGCCTTAACTTCTTCAGCACTCTGCGGCTAATATAACTTCAGGTGGCCCCTGAATCTATAAGGGTCCCTACTCTACTCCTGAAAACTTCTACATCTACCCAGATTTGTTGTCCCTCACTCTCCTTCTTCAGTTTGGCCCAGGCTGGCATCCTCTCCTTCAGCTCTTCTGCCACACCTGTGAGGGACGTGGCCTAGAGAGACGCTAACACAAGCGGTCTCTGGACAGCTAGCTAGGCACGGGCCTGCAACCTCTGCCAGAGGCTCATGTGGGTTGGGAGTGTCCTGTTCGCGCGCGCTCACTTCTCCACATGGCCTTGAAGTAGGGGCAGTTGTGACCCCTACTGGCGGCTGCCTTTTGACTGCTGAGAAGCCCAACGGGCCTGTCTATACTTAGGACAATATTTGATAACGTGGGCTGGGTCACCACAGAATACGCACTAACTCTGGTCCACGCGTTCCTGCCATAAACGTTGGTCCAAGCCCAAGTCTTCCTAGGGCCTGCCCTGTGGCAAGCCTGGGTGCCAACCTCCTTGAGGTGCCCTTCCACCTCGTCCCTGTGGGGACCGATTAGAACCTTGACGATTTGGCGGGGGACCTTGACCCCTACCTCCCACTTGGCGGTTTCCTTGGCCGCCAACCCCCTGTGCGCCCGGTCCTCGACCTCCCATGGCCTGGCCCCTTTGGCCCTGGCCTCCTCCTCTACTTTGCGGCCTCCCTCCAGCTGCGACAACAGCATAGGACCTCCCTTGTCCCATACTACTGTCCTCCTCCTCGAGGCCCCACTCAATCAGACTACACGGAACCTGATCGGTACCACCTTCCTCTAATGTCAGGATCATGTGATCCTTGGCCTTGACTTGGCCAAAGATGGTACGCGCTTTCCACCTTTTCCCTTTTTCTAAGTCCTTATGCCAGAAAGTGGAGGCTGGCATGGACTTGGACTCAAACAAGACTACTTCCCTACTCAGCAAATCATATGTGATTCCGGCCTGTTGAGACTTGTCAAAGAAGTGCCCCCTCAGGGGCTCGGGCATGGCACGATAGAATAATTGGACCAATTGGGGCTCAGTAACCTCGTGGTCTGGGACGGCCACCAGGTCGTCCATGACGCCCTTGAGTGCTCGCGCACTCCTCCACTGTCGCGAGTGGATAGTTTGTAACTTGTCACAGGCCCTGACGCCTCTCGTTGGATCAGCGAATCGCTCCCTCTGGAGCTTAAAGAACTGAGGAAGGGGGGTGACCTTTGAATATGCCACCAAGTTGTTTTCACAACCACCTACGCGCGCAAGGGACCTAGCAAAACTAGCCGCCTCATCCTTCAGGGCCTGGAAGGCCACAAGGACTTGTTCATCTGCCAGGATGTGCTATAGGTATACGTAACTATTGACACTGGCCTCCCAGTTGTCAAAGTTCTCCTCCTTTCCCCCGTATGCGTCTGCGAACTTGAGCTTGACAGGGTCCTTGGGAGGCCTGGCCCCGCCCTCTACAGCGGCTATCGCTTTGCCACCCTCAATGGCGCCTTCGTAGAACTTCCCTACATTGTCCCTTATTTGCGTGACTTCGCCCCCAAGGTGGGTGACAATATCGCGCGCAAAATCTCTAAATCCCGACCGCATGGCACTCAAGGCTACGTCCTGGTTCCAACTCGCTTGGTGCTCCTCCATCCATGCTTTGCTCAGCACCTCCAGGTGCCCAAATACTTTATCCCACTTGACCTTATCATCAGGCTGGGCCTGCACTTCCTTCCTGCAATCTTGCACCTTCGCCACCTCTGCGGTCAGTTTGTTGACTTCCTCTCTCCTCCTCTTCTTCTCCCTCTTCATCCTCAGCTTCCATGCCAACTTCTGCTCTTCCTCCCTTTCTCGCCGTTCCATAGGGTCCTCCATTGCTGCTAGCTCATTGGCTAGCGCCTCTCTCTCATCCTGAGTTACATACGACTCCGCCTCCTCGTCTTTCTCCCAACGATAAATTAGCAACCCATTCACTTATTCTCTTCTCCATCTCTGTGTCTGTATCCCTCTTCGTGCCACTGCTTCCCTTTCTACTCTCAATACGCATTCTCTCTTTTGCTTCTTTTGTTGCTACTTCCTCTTCGGCAGCCTTCTTCTTCTTCTCCATCTCCTCCTCCAATTCCTTCATCTTCACCGCCTGCTCCTCCGCGATAGCCTTTAGCTTCGCCTGCTTCTCGAGCTCTTTCCTCTCCTTGTTTTCTCTCACTAAGGGTATAGGTGCTAATGGTCTTTCCACTACGCAATTCCATTATGGTGATAAGTGTACAACCGGATTCGTGGTTCCAAACCTCACCACGTAAACTCTAACCCCTGACTGACAAACCTATTGACACAATCTAAGGACTCACAGAATCCTGACAAGGATCCTGCCAACTATGGTCTCTAGCCTAGACCTATACTATGGTTGTCACTACTAGACCTGTTGCTGATCAGGAGGCATTTAAGGAGATCCCCCTACCTCCTCAGGAATTATTTAACGTCGCAAACAGGACGACGCGATCAACAGGTCTCTCAAGACTTAGACGGTCTGTTGTGCAGCCCACAAATCGGATTTCGGGCCTACCGTGCCACAACGAGCAGCCCGCCGGTCAGTACTGGTCCTTGGCAGGGTTTGACCTTCGGGACAGTCGAGTCGTCAGACACAACCTTTCGCCCTACTCATCCCGTGTGGGTTTGGTCAACAAGACCATATCCTTCATCCAGGACAAAAGAGACTCGATGCAGAAAGAATAGACAGACAGACTGGACCCAACAAGTACCAAGGGGTGTGTGCACATCCATAGGGTGAGGGGTAGGCTGAAGGCTTGGCGAGATATTACCGGCTCCAGCTTGGTCAAAGTGTTGGTCAACGGCCTTCGTCAACGCCGGTCAACGTTGCTATCAGCCCACGGTCAACCCCCGGTCAACTTCCGTAAATGCCGGTCAACACCTCCGGTCAACCCTCTCGGTCAACTCTCTGGTCAGCTATGGCTGCCAGCTCCTCTTCCTCGCCAACCCTCTTCTCCCTTTCACCTTCCTCGCCTCCTTTCACCCCGGCTGTCTTCTTCCCTTTCTTTTTTTTTCTTTTTTTTTTGATCGGCCCACTCATCTCCTCTCGGCTATGGCCTCTTCCTCTCCCTTCTCGGTCTCTCCTCTGTCCGGTTTCCCTCTCCTGCCTTCACTACTGTGTGGTGATGCTCCGCGGCTATGGCCGCTTCTTCTTCCTCCACGTGGGACTGCACAACTCGCTTCACAGGTATGTGACAACCAAACTTGTGTCGCTCATCTCTCTCTCTCTCTCTCTCTCTCTCTCTCTCTCTCTCTCTCTCTCTCTCTCTNTCTCTCTCTCTCTCTCTCTCTCTCTCTCTCTCTCTCTCTCTCTCTCTCTCTCTCTCTCTCTCTCTCTCTTCTTCTTCGTCGTGGTCTTCTTTTGCAGGTGTGCGGCGGCTTCTCCAACCTCAGGTCCGCTATGGCGGACTACCACCCTCTGGCGGCCACCTCTGCTATGGCGCATCAGACCCTGCACACGACGGCGCGCATGGAATAGCGGGTACCAGCTCCGATACCAATGCAATCAGACTCGTTCTCATTCACACTTTTCATGCATGTAAACAGCAGCGCAGCAAACTGGTGACATGCGCCCACACAAAACTCAGAGATATGGCATTCAGATACGAGTTCACTTCCAACTGGCTATGGCAACTCAGCGCCCAAACAACTCGTTGTTCACACACACCGGATCACCCTGGATATCCCACACGCGTCACTCTGGACACTCACACATACACACACACTCTTCACACTAACTACAACTATGGCAGCTATGGCTGCCTGTACCCTATCGCTATACTAAGCTCCCCCTCTCTCGCCCACTACGTCCTCCGGGCTCACTGCAGACCTCCTTGCACAAGTCGCTTGAGAAATTTGTGGTTGGGGGCAGCATTATGAGGTATGTTGCTCTCTTCCTTCTCTACCCTCTTCATTTCTTCTTACCGTCAGGAAGTGAGTTCTGTCTTGAGAGTCCTCTCAATCAGTACTCAACCTTGAGAGTCGGCATTCTTCCTGGGCAACAAGCTGGTGGGAGACGGCCGAAGCCTCTGAAGGGCCCTCAACAAGCACTCGGGTCACGGTCACCATGCCAACCCGCTGGGACTAGTACACGCATGCTTTGCCGCAAGTCCTTGGTTGTACTGCTACGCAATAGAGGTAATGTTGGGCATGCCAACCCTTTAAAGGAGACGCTTACCAGACCGTCTATAAACATTTCTGGTTTCGGTTGAATCCTGGTTGTGATTGTCGTCCTGTCTGCAACGTTAAACAATTCCTGAGGACCCCCTGAGAAACACCCTGACTAACTCCTGACGAAGAGGCCTGCGACAAGGCCTGTGACATGGTAGAGGCGGAAGCCATTGCGGCCTCGACGCTGGCTGCTGCTGCCCTAGACTTCCGTAATGCCACCCTCTCCCTGGCTTCCCTCCGGAGCCTCCTTTCCTCTCCTGGACCTACCTCCTGGAAAGTGATCAATCGACCGAGAGCAGTTCTGAGGGTAACTCTAAGATCTTTAACTGAACGTTCCTCCTCCTCACTACTAACTGCTTCACTCATGAGCTACAGTGGTGTGTGATCTAAACTAGAATCCACACTGAATCCTACCTCAGCATGACACCCAACCGAGTATAAGAGTCCACTATTTCGGTCAGCCTGGAGAAATGTAGTCAAGTGGTAACCAGCAACTAATGTCAGGTCCTAAAGGTCACTCTATTTCTATTTTTAGATTACTCTAAAACAGAATGCAATGCAGCAAGGAAGGTACTATCCTATCTGCAGCTGCCTGTCAGTTGTCACCGAGTCCGTACAACTAAATAATCAAAAAATAAAAATAAATTACCTGTGGAGATGCATGTTGGATGGCAGTTCATCTAATCAGTTCCACAGTGAACAGTTTTTGGAATCCCCCCTTCCCCTGTATCCCTCTTGAGTAGTCACTTGTGTCGACGTCCTGAGCATCTGGTTGAGAAGAGTGTCTAAAGGTGTGCAATCCGGCCCACCCCTGTGCCCCAGGTCTATACTACACCTGCCAGCCCTGTACCTTGTTTACCCTCGCATGCAACGAGCCTTACTCTTGGTTGATCTGGCTGATCAAGAGGCACTTTAACACTATCGGAGCTGATTCGAGATCGTCGTTATTGTTACTTGGTGCGTCGAGGAAGCTACTACGCAGTAAGGATACATTGACGCTGGCAATAATTGCCACTGCTGGGTAGAGGGGAGGCTCTCAGGAAGGCTGTGGCGACAACGGATGTATGTGGGATGATGAGAGCATGCTGAGGTGGCACTCCATTGCATTGTGTGTGGTACCGAGGCTATGACCCGATCTGTTTGAGGAGCCTTCAGGGATCGTAGACAGGGAGATTGTCCATGCCACCCAAGGAGTAAATCCCCAAAGGGGAGGATCTATAGGATGGCTCCTACCAAGTTGGACGAACTTCGTCGGCAACTGAAAGAGCTCACAGAAAAGGGTTGGATTCGGCATAGTACCTCCCCCTTTGGCTCACCAGTTCAGTCTGTTGGTTTGCAAGTTAGCCAACAATCCCCTCTCACACCAGAGAATTATGAGATCCTCCAGGCGCAAGCTCTTCATAATGAACTACAACAGCAGTTGAGGGACACAACAGAGAGAAGGCAGAGGGCGATATTGAGAAAAGCTAGACTAGGAACTAGGAGGCAGGAGTTAGGGAAGCTAGAAGCACTAGAAGAGTCAACACTGGATCCTGCGATTCAGTCGCTACGTCGCTCACTACTATGTGTGGCAGAAACGCAGGTCGTTCAGCAGGAAGTGCTGGCTGAACTAGTGGCCGGCCAGAATCGAAATCTGGCTGCTCTGCAGGCTCCTCGCCCAATGATGAAGCAGCCTCAGTATTTTGTAGCTCCCCCTTCGGTTGTGGGTCCCATAGTGACGTCGTCGCCGATAGGGCTCTCTTTCTCTCCTATGTTTGGCAACTCTCCTTCAGGTGGTTTAGCGGTAGTTAGTGGTCCGGTTTTTGGTACTTCTCCCATACCATCAACGACGGTGGCAGCTACAGTCCCATCGTCAGGACAGGCTCAGGTTAGCATGCAACAACCTGTTTCAGTGGCTATGCAGCCACTGCAGCAATCACCTGGGCTAATCCAACCCATGCAGTGGATGCCAAAGATCCCCTTGCTGGGACCTAAACCTTTTTCTAGCAACAAGAAAGGACGAGGACTTGGACACTTGGGTGAGGATTGTGCCCCCTTGCTGAGACCTAAACCTTTTTCTAGCNGACCTAAACCTTTTTCTAGCAACAAGAAAGGACGAGGACTTGGACACTTGGGTGAGGATTGTGCCCCCTTGCTGAGACCTAAACCTTTTTCTAGCGACAAGAAAGGACGAGGACCTGGACACTTGGGTGAGGACTGTGCCTACCTATGTGAGGCACAAGCTCACGAGGCCAGAGCAGGAAGTTATAATCGCTGCCTCCTTTCTGGAGGGTTCAGCAGCACGATGGTTGAATGGCTTAGTGCAGCAACAGGGCTATGGTCAAAATTTTGATGCCTGGGCCCATGCTCAAACATTGGAAGACTTCATATGGATTGTGTACAATAGGTGGCATGACCCTCAAGGGGTTCAGAAGGCCACGGACGCATTGAACACTCTTGGTTCCAAGCGGTACCGGTTCGTGCGGGAAGTCACAGACGTCGTAGAACGTCTGATCGTAGTATCTGGTGTGCGCTATGACCTTCAAGTACTCCTCACAGTGTATTTGCGATGTCTGCACATAGACGTCAAGAACAAGCTGGTGGATGAGGCCAACATTGATGTCCATAGCTTCGCTACTTTCAGCAAGAAAGACTTAGATATAGAGGCTAAGCTTGGGACCGCTCATCAGGGACCAGAAGATGGTAGGAAGAAGAAACTTCCCCAAGATTGCAGGAAGAAGGGCAAT